GTGAAAGGTGGAGCGCGTTGCAAGCTTAATAAGTCTGCTGGTGCAGCCTCAGGGATCATCCCGTTTGATCCCCTTGGCACACCGTCGGGCCTGGGCGCTGGCGGGGACCTTAGTAGCCCCCTAGCGGCCCGACACGCGGGCGCACGTTTGCTCTGACCGCGGGAGCGCTGACCGAGACCGGTGTGGGTTGCAGCATGGCGCGGAATGCCTCACGCTCGGAGCTGGCCCTCGGCGCGGACTCGGACGAGTGGGGGCCGGCGGAATGGCTGGCCGTTTCGGCGGCGGTGGCAGATCCGCGCGGATGGCGGGAGGCCCACATCGTGGACCGGCGGATGGGGATGGATGGCGATTCCTACGTCGCCATCCAAGCGACGGTGTGGGTTCCCGAGGCGAAGGGCGGCCAAGCGCGCCGCAATGCCCGCCGCGCTCTGCGCCGTTCGCTTGACCAGAATCCGGGCAATGGGGTCGATGCGCCCGTGGGATTGGAGGCCGCGCCCCCCGCGGAGGGGGGCGCTGGGTCGGATGGTGCGCCCCGCGGAGGGGATGCGCTGGGCTTGCGGCACGCGGGGGAAAGTCGCCGGGGGGGAAGACCCGCGGGCGCTGTCGGCACGCCTTCCCCTCCGAGGAGGAGGAGTGGGAGGCGATGCTTTTCGGGGTGTCCGTCGAAGGGTTGGAACTGGGCACGGAGGACCACAGGGCCAAGTGCCGTCGGACCGGCGGGTGTGACTACGCTGCCGGGGAACCCGCGGGAAGCTGGTTCCCCCCTGGTTTCACGGGGCCCGTCACGCCGGAATCTGGGCCCGTAGGGCCCAGTGAGGTGACCCTGCAGGAGGCAAAAACAGGGCCAGCACCTGAGGAAGGTGCTGACCATGTGACCTCGCCAAAGGAAGCTTCTAGGCAGGGGGAAACCAAGGCAGAGGGTATAGGAAAGTTAGGGGAAGATGTGAATTTAGTTTTACATACTAGTTTTCATGGGGACCTAGACGTTGAGTGGGAGGTGGTGCACCAAAGTAGTCACCTAGTCCATGTGACAGGTGAGGTGGCTTGGGCAACCAAGAGGCTGAGAGACATAAGGCCACTAGGGAATAATAGGTACCCCCCACAAGAGGCAAGAGAAAGTGATACAAAAAATGAGTTATGTGCACTTGTTGGGGGGTTGAAAAGGCAGCCTAGGTTGTTCTCCCTTGAGCCCCAGCACCATGGGAAGTATTTAGCTAGGTACCCAAAGAGGGTTCAGGTTCTAGCCACCTGGATTCGGAGCCACGAATTCAGCAGTGTTGCATTTTATATGCATTCACTGCTGGAAACTTTGGCGAAAGCTCAAGCATGTTCAAAGAGACACATTGCCATGGAGAAGCTGCCACAATGGTGGCTTGAATATGTCATGGAGTTTCGAGAGAAGAAGGAGCAAGTAAAGGAAGAAGAAAAAAGGGTGGCAGAGGTCCAAGATAAGGTAGAGAGAATGTTGATAGAGGAAGCCTCTAAGGCACCTCTGCCAGCCCACCTTGGACTCTTTGATGAAGATGACAGGATGTGTGACTCCTGAATGAGCCTTTGGGTGGAAAAAAACATAAAAATGATAAAAAGGAAGTGCGCTTTTTTTCTAAAGTTGTGTGAACATGAGCAGGGGGTCTTTTGGTTTGGAGTTGCAAGGCGTTGTTTATACTTGTCGAGTGTGCATGCTTGATTTCAACGGGTTTTGGTTAGTTGTGGTGTAGTTTGGGACACTTTACATTGACAAGTTTAATAGAAAACGATGTCTCAACCGCTGTGGGGACGCAGGCCGCTGACTGGACTTTACACATGCTTTATGTGTGTCTTACTATGTAATGAAGTGAGCGTTTGGCCATAGAATCTCTGGGGTGGCCGTGTGCAGCGCTGGTGATCGTTGTGCGGTGCAGCAGGGCTCACAACGTTGTGTTCTGACCGGTCAGTGGCTGTGGGTCTGTGACAGGGAATAATCTGTGATTTGATAGGTATCTTTAGATCTTGTGGGCCCCTCCCGTCCGCGTATTTGAGCTGGCGGCGGCGGGGGAGGCGTGTCCTTGCCGTTTGCTTGCGTTTGGAAGTTGGCGCTGCTGTTGTGGCTTTGGACGCTCAAGTGTAAGGCCTTTGAGCCGTGTTTGGCAAGGCTTCTCTGTCTCCAGCGGTACCCGAAGGTGTGCCCATCGCTGAATGTGTGTCCTGCCTTCGTCGTGGTTGGCACTGCAAGGGGCGAGCCGTTGGCAGCCCTCGTTCCGTGTGCTGGTTGTTTACCCCGACGGGGTCTTGCTTCAGCTCCCAAACGGGACTGTTGTTTATCTTTCCACCTGCTGAACGTGTTCGCACAGCCTTGCGAGAAGCGGCGGCGTGTTTTGTGACCGTGTTGGTTGTGTGTGCAAGTGTGTTCCACGCCTAGAAAACGCCAGAGCCAGCGCAGGGTGTCGTTCGAAGCGCACCCGTTTTTTCGAACCGGCTGCGTTGGTGTCGGCGGTACCACGGGTCAGTAGGCCCGGCTGGACGTGAAACCACACGTCCTAACGTGCTGTAAACGTGCGCCAAACGCCGTGAAGGCGTGCGCTCAGCTGTAAACTTGCATATAAGCTTGCTGACACGCCGAGGAGGCGTGTCGTGTAGCGCTCTGTGGTGTTGTTTCCCTCGCAGCGCTGTGCATACTCTGACGGGTTTGGGCGTACAGCTGTGTGCGTGTCGACTGCCGGTTCGCAACGCGTGACTTGCTGCGAGGACGGTGAGGGAGGCACGCAGCACTGAGGAAGTGCTGAGAAGTGTTTTGCCGTGAAGGCGAACACAAAAAGGCGGTGAAGGACACAGTTGTAGGCAGTGCTGTGAAAGCACTGCTGTATTCGTGCGACTGCAGCTGTCCTACCGTGTTGTGAGTGGGGTACTGGACTCATAGGTATCGAAAACACCACTCAAAGGAACCCAGTGAGACCCCCAGGTCATTTTCGATGATTATGGTGGGCCTTCGCGATCAATAGCTTATAGCTCCCATTGAACCCTCCTTGAACTTAATCATCAATTATGCACCGTGTTGGCTTCTGTCACTTTATATATAAAGTGACCAGAAGCCAAACGGCGGGGACTAGCATGGCTATTTAAAAGCAATGGTCGAATCAGACCATTGGCGCGGCCCAACCAACGTTGCCCTTGGCAGAAATCTGTCAACAAGATATTTGACTTCGTAACCATCATTGGCAAACAACGCCATATTGCGATGCCAATTGCAGCACTATTTTAACAATGACCGTCGCCATCGAATATATGTGATCAATATGTAATCAAAGTGATTGCGATGGCATCAATTTGTGTCAAAAGGGCATCGCAGTTGGCTATGGAGAAATGGTATTTTCTACTGGTGCGTGACCTTCATGGCTTCTGCAATGACGGCAGACGGATGGTGTAGGACAAGTTCGGGTACAGTAGTGCTACCTTGTGTAGTATACTACCTTGTGTAGTATACTACCTTGTGTAGTATACTACCTTGTGTAGTATACTACCTTGTGTAGTATACTACCTTGTGTAGTGTACTACCTTGTGTAGTGTACTACCTTGTGTAGTATATTATCTTGTGTAGTATATTACCTTGTGTAGTATATTACCTTGTGTAGTATATTATCTTGTGTAGTATATTACCTTGTGTAGTATATTACCTTGTGTAGTAGAAACCTGTGTCTATCTTGTTGTTCCAGCGTTCTGACAAGGAAGCCATAAGCCAAAACAGGAGTTATCGCCCCGGCTCCACGATCACATACGTCTAATTGTTTGGGAATTCCAAATGTATTACACTATGACACATACGGTTGCTTGTAAATGGGACACACCCTGTCAGCACGCAAACACATATAGACAGGAAATTGTAGACGCTCAAAGACCCGGCCTGATTTGGACGCGGTAGCAAAGCACATCGGCTTTCGTGTTTTGATTACTGCTGGAGAATGCGATAAGATACAGCAGCATGACCAGATTGCTTCCCTTCAAGGCAATAACGTCTCCGCAGCAGCCTCCATGGCAAGGTTTCTGGTTACGCGCCAGCATAGGGTACACAAGTCGCATCCAGTCAGTATCTTTACTGAAGTTCTACTTCGTAGATTTATCTTCTTCAGTCCCGACTTTCGCTTGTCAATGCGCCCAACGTGCCCAAAACAATCTACCTAGAAGTGTTGAGAGTCGTACAGGGTTTTCCTCAAAGTCTACATTAGCGTCGGCACGGCTGGGCTGCTTCTCATCAATTTGCACACAGGCGCCCTCAGTGGAGGCCTGTGCCGCACCCGCATCGCCAAATCATCGAATCCCAAAATCACACTATTCAGATTTGCCGGGGGGTGGCAGCGCGTGGGCACAGCAGCTCTAGCGGCAATTGTCGTTGGGTCGCACACAATAAATGAGAAATTGTCGCGGCCATTATCTGGGACCACACCCTTGTGCGGCCAAGGAAGAGAGGATCATGCAAGCCATTTGCCACACACACCGTGCGCTGTCGCATTGTAATGTGAAACACTGCAAATGAAATCAAACGTCCAGCACGCGCGTGGGCGACAACCGCCCTTCCCTCCCCACAACTCACACGCAGTACGCCCTGTTGGAACTTGAAGATCGGGACCCATGCATCGTTCCGCTGGACCCCTCCAGCGGCCGCAGCCAAGTACACTGTCGATAGAACTTCCCAAAGTTCAGTGTGATCACGCGTAGCCCTTCGCACACACCGTTCCGAGCCTCATTTTCATTGTCATTCCCCGCAATGGGGAAGATTATCCCCATTCGCCAATTTTCCATTACCCATTACCCTTGCCATTACCCATTACCTTTTCCATTACCCATTACCCAAGTACAACCATAATGGGAACACCATGCAACCGCATCAGATCATCGCGGCGCCACAGGCCTTGGACCCGACCATGCTCGATCACTGGTGGCGAACCACAGCACCACGTGGATCCCGAGGACAGCAGGGCATGACCTCAACCCCTGAACCAGCTGCAAGATTCTGGCGCCTCGACATTTCAATGCAGTTCTTCCGAGGTGGCGCCCGCCTTGGCGGCCACCTTAATGAACACTTGCTCCAATGTTGCGTTTGTAACCGCCCAGTCAAGGACCTGTTTCACAGCAGCAAGGCCGCCACTTCAGCACCCGTCGCCCGCGCATGCATGGAGCCAGACTGGCTTTGCTGTCAGTGGGCCATGTCACTGAAATAATGCACAGTCCGCACAATCTCAACAGTGCTTAGCATTGGAAGATAAAATGCCGTTGTCAACCACGATGCACAACTGGTCCCATAATTTGCAAGACCAGCACGATTTCAAGGTTGGCAGCCAAACTGTCCATGCTGGGCCTGCTATCGACCCCTTGAATGGACTATCCATCGATCCATTTACGTTCACATGCATCATTCTCCACTCAAATATGAGCCAGACGCCGCCTTTGTTGTCACTATCATTCTGCTGCACTATCTTCGGTGTTGAGGTGCAACATGCATCATGAAGTGCATGTGCAGTGGTGCTATATGCGCACATGCAGTCACGGCCATGATCGCTGAGTTCCGCCACACAATCTGAAGGGAATGATTAATCGATGACAAACTCATTCCTCCAGAAGCTCAGCCCATGAAAGGGCGGGTTCCTGGACACAAGGGAGGCCAGGAACCCCCGACGAGCAGCACCTGAATCTGAGATTTGATGTTCTCCACGAAGGCAAACACGTCGCCGGGGGTCGCGCCACCCGCGGGGAGCTCAAACATGAGGGTGCCGCCAACTTCATACGTCAGCCGGGCGTTCAGGGTCAGCTGCTGAGTCACCAGTCGCTTTGCCGTGTCCACGTCGGCGTGCGCGGTGGTGATGGTGAACACCTGAACGCCGCACAAGATGCACATGACGCAAGTGAGAAGAGGCAAAGGCGGGCCATGAGTTCTGCCACCTGCTGCATTGCAATGCGTGCCGAGTTTGCACACGTGATTCCAGAGGTCGAAAGGCGATCTGAAAAGCAACCTAGTTGCGTAAATCCAAGCAATTCCACGCTGGCGTCGGTCACCAAGGGCCTCAGGGCCATCCGAGACATGACGGCTCGGAGATTCTGCGTTCGGAGGAAGCGTGTCTGTCAGGGGGTTGGCTTGAGTGCCCTTTTGCCCGACTACACAAACCAGCAAGAAAAAACTGGGTCAAGTCTGAGTGGACAGTCGCGGAGCGAATGTGAAGCCAACAGCGGCGTTCATCGCAGCGACGCGTCCACTATTAATGCATCGTCAAACGGTGCTTTCAAGCAGAGGCGTGCCACGCCCCGGGCACCACCTCCTTTGTAAGTTCAGCGGTCCCTTGCAAAGCGCTGAAAATGATGCAAATATTACGGCAGAAGCGGCATCGTACTTGACATGTATCCCAAGCACTATCCCGCGAACACTCGTGTCACGCCGTTCGTCAACGCAATCCAAGAGAACATTCCTACCATGTAGTCCCCGTGCCGCGATGTCAGCTGCTGGGGGCTGCCGATGACGACCAGCCTGCCATTGACAAAGATCCCCAGCCGGTCGCACAGCACCCCCGCCTCCTGCATGCTGTGCGTCGTCAGAATCATGGCCTTGTCCTTCTTCGCCCTCTTGACGGCATCCCACAGGCTTCGGCGCGAAGCAGGATCCAGACCCTGCGCAGCACCGAGCGAAACACACTTGCCGTCAGACTTGCTGAACAACACCCGTAACCACCACCGTCGGAGATGATCTCAAACTTGCAACAGCCTTGTTTTACAAACAAAACGACTTCCCTCTGCCAGGCATGCCAAAAGCTGCCATTTGTGCAACTTAGTTCTTACCAGCAAAATGACATGTTGTTTAGTTACCTGCTGACAAGAGCAGACGGAACCAAATGCATAACATGTGCCAACATGGCCATGGACAAGCTTGTCCATGGAAATTTAGAGACCAAGGCCTGGCCAGTTCGTCTTAGGATAAGGGAAAGACCGTTCAAAACTTTTGCTAGAGCGAAGAATGCCTGGAATGCGATGCGTGATCACCACCAACTGTTGACGGGTTTCTCAATCGACACTACGGTAGCATTTCACAAACAATGAATACTCACAGAATTAACAATTGTCTGTGGTACTGCCACACTGACATGCTGTATTGCCGCAACCACACCCGCTCACATGGCCAATTACAACGTGTCTCACCTGAAGCGAAACTGGAAATGTGCGCAGACAAGTTGAAAGCACAGTCAGCAGGCCATGATTGACAAATGTCAGATGCGCGCTACCGTCCACACGCTCGCGGCACTGACGAATTTACATCAATACATATACGCAAGATCACCCAAATAATGCCCAAAATACACGACTAGATCCACTTTAGCACAATTCGCGGTACAGTTGCGCGGCTTTCAACAATTTAAATCCTAAAGTCTCTAAGTTTAGCACGTTAACGCTAAACGAACGTGAATGGAAACTGTGCGGATTGCGCAAATTCGGCCAACGCCACTTACAGTGCTCGGTTCATCGAGGTACACGACTTTGGGGTCTCCAATCAGAGAGATCGCGACGCTGAGGCGGCGCTTCATCCCTCCGCTGTACGCCTTCACAAGCCTGTCCCCCACGCCGCCGGCAAACAGGTGCACAGATTTCAAGGCGTTCTCGACGGCCTCCTTCAAGCCAGCTCCGCTGAGTCCCTTCAGGCGGCCGTAGAACAGCAGATGTTCCGCGCCTGAGACGCAACAGCACCACGGCACAGAATAAGAAAGGCTGCAAGAAACCCGTTGTGCTTGGGAAAGTGCAACGCCAACCATTTTTGCTGGTGCAGTAAGGCTCATAAAACACGCCAATAAAGATAATCACTGATCATCCTCGAGCGCGCTCAGTTTGATGGGCTGCTTCATCTAATTCAATAGAAAAGTAGAGGAAATAGATAATTGTGATCAATAGAGCAAAGGCGGCAACTGCAGCACGTTCACACAAGGGTGCTCAATTGCCGCAGTCGCTTGCCTGCCACGTTGGGCCGGCGATGCGTGCCCACTGCCGAGGGGCACGAGTCAGCCGAGCGATATGATTGATGGAGTTCCAACCACACCTGAGCCATGGGCTGCAGATGAAACAAGCCCCATCAATCACAGCACACAATGTACACACTCTTTCCGCTGAAATGGTATATATATGGCGAAAATATATGACAATACGTGTAACACTGTATGTATGCATATATGCATATCACTCTGGGACACTTTGGGACGCTCTGGGACATTTGGGACATGACCTGATATATTCTCCTTCTTGCTGAACATTATTGCCTAGCTGCTTGGGACTCCCCTGCAGGAACATTCTGGCTTCTATGAACAATGCTGGTATCTTGCTTTCCTTTTGTTTGGGATCCTAAATCGGCTCCTGCTGGAAAAGGATCCTACTGTACTTTGAGAGTTACAGGGGAGTTCCCTCGTTCTTAGACATATGTAATACATTTGGAATTAAAAAATATCTACATATGTATATTTATTTATTTATTTACTTATTTACTTATTTGTTTGAATTCCAATGTACTACACGTTGATCTAAGCAAGGAGCTCCCCAGTAGAACGTAAAGTGTAATGAGATCCTTTCCAGCAGAAGCCGATATAGGGCCGCAAACAATAAGAGAAGAAAGAAGCATCAGTACTTTCGCATTGCACCCACGTCGACGGAAGGGCATTCATGGAATAGACTTTGTTTCTCTGCTTTACTTTGAAATTCGTTGTTCAACCTGCAAGTATTCGCATGGGTGTGGGCAAGGCGTCGACGCGCGCAGGGACCCTGGACGTTGGGTGTGCTAACTGGAGCAGCAAGGTGTGCGATGGATGGGAAGGGTGATGATTTGGTGGTGTTGCCATACCCCCGAGGCTGCACATCACACATGTATACACTTGTGCAAACGGCTCGGTTCGTTCTTTTTTGCCCGGTGTGTGGTTACTACGCCTATTCCATTAGCAAGCTAGGAATGCTCCAGGTCTCTGTTTCTGAAAAAGGTTCTGCGGGTGCCGTTTCCTGAATTTTCAGCTCTCGCACGGCCAGAGTTCGCCCCCCTGAATTTTCAGTTTTCACACGGCCAGAGTTCGCCTTCCCGAATGAGAGCATATAAGATGCCACAGGGCGGGTATCACCTGCAGTCCGTTCAAATCAAGTTGAAGTTCACAACTAGGTTGGAAAATAGCCAATTACAAAAATAGAGAAGTAACCCTTTGATCTACATAACATGCTGTTGTGGAAATACGGTCGTTGATCAGGTCCTGCTTTTTCTCGTTTACCAAAAGTGAATGACATGAACGGGCCCCAAAAATTGGCACCATTATCTGAATTGTGGCGGCATCTTTGCACAAGAAGCTGAAAATGCTCTTGTAAGGTGATAAAACAGCAGCTGGAAAGAATGAGACCTCTGACCACACAGAAAAATTTGCAAGGACAGAAGTCCTTGCTTGATGCCCACTCAGAAGCCTCAAATGCAGCATCTTTCTCCAGCCCACCTGTCAGCGTGCCCCACAATAGATTGTGCTGTGGGCAAACCCCCATCCTGTCGTAGATCAGATCCATGTCCTTAGTGATGTCCAGTCCGTTGACGAGAGAAGATCCAGCAGTCGGTTCCATGAAACCCACCAACATATTAATGGATGTCGTCTTGCCAGCACCGTTCGGACCAAGCAGGCCAAACACTTCTCCTTTACGCACTGTCATGTACAATTCCTTGACAGCCACCTGTTGCGCAAAGCACAAAAGTTCCAGACTTGTCATAAACCAACCATTTGACCAAGTTCACAGGACTTCCCTGGGAGCTCCTGCCCCTGCTAATCACAACACATCGCATGACGTCACAGGCGATGCAAACAAACCAGCACAGGGAATGACAATTGCATGTTCAAGAGTGACAACTGTTAGAAGCCTTCATGGACCCTGAAAGAAAGTGGAGTGGAGTAGTTGTCCTTGGCACAATAAGTTGTTGAGATGACGACAATGCAGGTTGGTGCTGGACCACACAATAGATGGGCTGCTTGTACACTGGCGTTCAAGAAGCAGAGCTAACAAGGCAATCGCACCACCTGATGATCGCAAAGGTAGAGCAGACCGCCAATCTGCAGCAACCATACGCGATGTCACCCACCTTTGGAGGATTTCCCTCTGAAGGGGGGAACACCTTTCTCAAGCCGCGAACAACGATGACATGCTCGTCATCCCCAGTTGCAGGAATACACTCCACTTTCCTGCGCTCAGCAGCAACTTCTTCTGTTTCTTCGTCGATCCCCACTTCGATGTGGGACTTCTGAGAACCGAATTGAATTGTCTCCACCTCTTTTGGGTCATCTGAGACCTGAACAAAGGCAAAAATGACAACCGTACGATGTACGTACACCATACCTCAACTTCAAACTGACTCCATGCCATTGGCATGAGCCCAATTGTCCTGGAGACTTAAAGGAGCACACAGCCCTCCGGACAAGGAGTTTGGCAGGGTTTTCACAATAAGACAACTAGTACCAATATGGAAAATACGGACACTGCACAGGCGACACTCTTGAGATACAATTGATTGATGTAATGATCCACATTAGTTTACAGGCAATGAGAACAATCTTGCATGTCACTGTGGTCTGGACACACGGGCAGCTGCTACAACCTAAGCAGCATTCAGGTGGCTGACATCAAGCCACACAATTCTTCCCCTGTTGCATGTCATTACCTCATGCCTCCGGCAGCAGCAGCATGAGAGTTGGTCAAGGCAACCATTGGTGCCCCCTTGCATGCTCCTTATTTGCCCCTTCTGCACTGCCTGGAAGCATCACAGCTGTATTTGAGTACACAGTGTCGAGTCAGCTGAAGCAATCCCTGAGCATGATGCAACTGCTGAACCGGCAAGTGCATCTCAGTGCATGCTATCTCAGCCACAACACTGAATCACAACCACTCGCATGTGCAAACTGGCCAGCAGGAGTTTGCTGAGACTGGTCGACCAGCACAAAACTTGGACCACAGAATATGTAGCAGCAGAAGCAGTGGCAGTAGTCACACGTTGGAACACAGCTCTAATCTCCACAAGGCAAAATATAATCTGGAGGATTGGGGAATCACCATTGGGGATTCATACGGATTCACCCTCCAACTGTTTGCATTCGTGCGATGGGGCTTCTTCTGAAAGCCTGGTGTTCCCGATCTGGCAACCGTGTTGGCTGAGAAATCAAAGCCATGCAATAGGGACAAGTAACTATGCAGAACTGGCTGGCTGCGCCATGGCTTGCATTTTGCTTTATCTCAGAATCAGCAACTGTCATGTTCATACCTGCTGAACAGGTGTGGGCCTCAGCATGAAGTAGTCGAGGAAATACAAAGGGTGCCGATGAACGCCTGTACCAGCTGAGTAGACCTGGGCAGCCAAGATTCATAATCAATACAACATTGCTTGTGTGATGACAACCAGCTAGCTGGCTGTCTTCATGGTGCTCGCAAAATGCAACTCCCATCCACAAGCTGCAATCACGAATGCCCATTGCTGTGCTAATTTTCAAAATGATAATCTGCATACTCCAAGTCAGCATCCAAGATCGTGATGAGTCTTGGCCAGGCACAGCAGGACAGTTGGGTACAAATACGCAACTCATATTGGAGGATTGGAAAGTGATAGGCATCCTTCTTGGTTCTTTTTGTGTGGGCACTCTCTTACCTGCTCAATGTACCATGCAGCCATCATGAAAATGGGCCATTCAATAAGGAAAGCGACCATAATGAAATCCATGTGGTTGTTGTCATCTGTGAAGTTGTCCCATTCCAAGCCATCAGAATTGCGGAGTGCCGCACGGAAGCTGTGTTCACCCAACTCATACCAACCTCTGCACCATTGTGAGAATCTCAACTTAGCTCAGGTCGAGTTCTGTCCTATTGCTGAATATATTGTGGCAGCTGACAGTTATGCTGGAATTCCACGTCGATACGGTTACTGAAATCTAGAAGCCCGCACAAATGTGCATACAATGCAGTGAGCGGGATGGCACTTGCAGCAAATGTTGCAGTGGCCTAGGACATGCACTCTGAAGTTGCAACAATGATGGTGGCATGCAGTGATGATGCAAACAGAAAGATGAGAACAAAAGCAAATGGGAAGCAATAACCAATGTAGCTCAAAACTGCACAGTGGCATCCAAAGAAGAACAATACTGCACATCACAGCTTTGCATGCCACTGGAAGTTCACAACATATAAATGTATTTGGTGCGTATGCACAAATTTGTGGCATTGGCTAACATATAATCTTACACAATTTCAGCAAAGCTAGCTGTGCATGACTTGTAGCAAACCACTTGCCACCCATGTTGGGATCTGCATACCTGTAAGCACCGAACGCTGGGACTAGCTGGATAAGCTTGACATAGAAGACATCCCTCTCTATGAGTCGTCTCAACAGCAGGTCGCCTAGCAGACCGCTTTTAAAGACCCACAGGAAGGAGAACACCATCGCAGTCAGAGTGGAATGGAAGAAGCTGCTCAGAAGGAAGGCAAAGGCAATCTGGACATTGCCAAACAGAAAATAGAACACGATCTGGACACCTGGGACCAAAACAGAAAAATGTTGCTTAACGTTCAAAATTCAACATTCGCAAATTCTATTCTTTTAATTGTTCGCATTTTTATGTGTATAAATATGTACACATAGATGAACATATTTGCTGTGCGATTGCTGCAGGTCGAACAAAATTGTGCCGTCTTTTGCTCAATGCAAAGGTAAGCAGATGTGACAGACTATAATGTTGGACCACCATTTCTACCGCAGGTTGGGCAAGGCAGGCGGGGTTTCGCATGGTGCTCAAAAGGGAATGCGAACATATACTTCGATGCTGGATGCTTTGTTAGATGTGATGCTTCGTTGAAGGCGGATCTGGAAACGCTTATCAGTGAAGATGCAGCCCTGCCTGCCAACACTGATCAAGTGCATGGGCTTCGTTCATAATACATTTGGACAAATGTAGCGAAATGGATTCCAAGCCAGCACGTCAGTTTATAACATGCCCGCGCTTTCCTGGGCTAGAATAATGGGAACGACTACAATTGCCGTAACACACTCACCATAGTCATTCAGCCGGAATATGGCAAGGTTTGCTGCTGATCCAATTGCAATGAACACAGCCATGTACACGATGTACATGGTCAGGTAGTAGAGATATGTGACAACCCAGTATGCCCCATCCCCAAGTCCGTGCATCTTCATCATGATGCGCAATCGATTCACCTTCTCATACACCAGCTGAACAAGCCTGCACAAGCAACACCACAAGGCCTGATGGTCTGTTCCCAAGTCACTGCAGTGTATGGCCAGACTCTTAAGGTACACACAGAATGCAGGGTGCATGGGCTCTTCTGCGAAAAGACACTTAACGTACTTGGCTGCAATGTCGCGCTGACCCTCTCCCATGGGCCAGAACTATGCAGCAAACAGCAGTAGAGAGAAGGTGTTTTTTGCAAGGGTATCCAGGATGGATGGATGTGCAACTCACATGACTGGCAGGAAGAGTTGAATCACCCAAGTGAACAAGAGGACAGACAGGAAAGACGTAAAGTCAAGCCTCAGTTTGGTTTCCTCGATGGGGAACTCCATGAGGGCCAGCAGCCGGGATGAATATGTGCCTGCAGTTTGCCAGCAGCAACACGAGTCAGCCTTGGAATCTCCCAGCATCGCCTATTGGGCACAAGGGCTGCGGTTTATCATATTGTGATCAGCAAGGAGTTCTGCAAAAAGAGCCGGTAAGTCAAGGTAAGGGCACTGGGACCAGCAAGAAGTGGTAAAGTCACCATGCTCACAGGGATCAAAGCACGCAAATGTGTCTGTCTGTCTGTCTGTGTGTGCATGAGCACAGACATATGCATTAGTCGCACTCTACTGACGAAAGTGGATACTAAAAATATTTGTATGCGCATGAGCAATATTCAATATGGCTACCACAGTGGAGTGCTCGAATGCCAGCACAAACATTCTTGCACCCTTACTCCATCAGTGAGACAAGTCATTACAAAGCAAGAATTGGTCAGCCAAGACAAGAGTCATTCTCCTCTTTATCTTGGGATGCAGTAGATCTCAAATTCATAGTTAAAGAGGACAGAATTGAAAAGCAATGCAGAGACTGAGCTCACCATCCAAGGCCACTTTAAGCCACGAATTCGCTGCCAAGTCTAGCGGCAGAGTGACGCGGTGGTTCTGCGGCACCCCGTCGTTCCCATCCACAGTATCTGAGTCCTTGTACCAGATGTCCACATCCAACATGGAGACATTGTCCGAACCCTGCAACACAAAGAGCCCAGCTACAGAAACAAACCACACCACTAACAACCCAGTGTTCTTCAAATGCTGATTGCGTCCAGAGCACTGTGTTGCAGCAAAGTCAGGTCATTGGGACACGTGCTCACCTTGAAATCCCAAGCATTGCTGTAGCCCGCCACGGTGTCTGATTCGTCAAGCAGCCTCCTTCCACTGAACGTTTCTCCAAACTCCTCAGATGCGTTACACCTGGCCTGCTCGAGCAAAGCAAACAATGCTCACAACAGCAAACAAGCACAGGAGTGCGCAGAGGCAAGTAGTCCACATCTGCTATCCACCTCCGACTGGAGGCACAGGTCAGGTCAGCTCCAGGCAGCTCACCAATGCCGACAGGGTCATTGACCCATTACTGAGCATTGCTTTGTGCCCACATCATCTTGTGGGCCCCTGAAATTGATTTATCATCATGGGCAAATTGTTGCTGGGGAACAATTAAGCGGAAAAATAGTTAGTGAAGGCTGCAACCTGGCACTTTGCAGACAAGTTCAAACTGGGCATCTCATCAGAGCCCAGCAAGCACTATATGTGCCCAATACTAAAATCAGGGAAATGACTAGCCAGTACCAAAATGACACAATGAACGCAGCTGAGATGGTCCAACTCACCCCTTCAAAGCTGCAGAAAAGGTGCCTGTTGATGCGGTCCGCAGTGCTCAGGACGAGTGGAGTGTTCACGCACGAGTTAATGAACGAATCACCTGGGGCGCGGGAGCCCAAGAGGGGGTTCTGGGACAGGAGGGAATTGGTGAAATTGCCAACAATGTCAGTGTCTGGTACTGTGCTGCAATCCTGATTGAGGACAAAAAGTTGCTCTTCTTCATCCTGGCAAATTTTGCACAGAAGAAAATAAGTCATACACTTCCTTTGCCCAGCTGCTGAGGATATTGGTTGTGACAAAGCAAGTGCTTCCAAGGAATCGAAACCCAGTGATATTGAAGAGGACGCTCAACTCCCCCGATCAAGTGCAAGTGGCAGGACAAGATCCCAACACCTATGGAACAAGCCGCCATCCCACAAAGACAGCTGTCGCACAACAGCTGTCAGATGTAATCCACCAACAAAACTGGAACAGGTTCTAAGCCCCATTATCCATACACCAAATACAACAAGTCGTGCCATCTGACAGGGAAGCACACCTGTCAACTGCTAAAACTGCAGACCTTGCCGGAACACATAGCATCTGCAAAGAGCCAGTTTGCATCACCATGCATGTTGCATATCTGGTGGCTTTGCATTGTTGTTATGACACCAGCCTTTACAGCATGAAAATCTTTGTTGGGCCAGGTCTTCTCATCACATGGTTGGCGAGTCTTGGCACAACAAAGCTCAACGCTTTTCTCGCTTTACAACAACAGAGAGACACAACTCTTGCAGTCCAAATTGCTGTCAAGAAACCATCCAATTTTCTATGGACATCCAGATGCCTAGCTCAGGAGGGATTATCTGGTGCCACAATAATCTGTATGGCTGCTGATCATCAAAGACCTCCCATTGCGTTGCAAGAGCAATCCAGAAGCAAGAAACTGAGAAGTCAGCACACATGCAGCAACTGCCTGACTCCATAACTTCATGCATGGGTATGCATGAGGAAGTGTGAGGCGTCCTCACGAGATTCCAAAAAAAACTGATGAAAGAAACACATGTTTTGAATTCTTCTCACTGTCAACGCCAAAAAGGATCACTTGGTGGCAGTCGAAGCCACAATGCCACTTACATCGGTTGGGACAAATGCAGGATCCACTTGGTGAACTGCCACAACCTCTGCGCTGCTGCCAAATACGAATCCTTGCAGGGTGAAAAGCTCCCCAAAAAAATCCTCCTGTTTGTGGCATAAGTTCACACTGTCACATTTCAAAGCACTGCGAGCCCTGGTCCTTTGCCTACTGGGTGACGCTGGGGTGGAACTGAGTGTGTCAATAGATAGTGTGACTGAGCAGAAGATCCTCATTCCCTACTGCTTGCACCAAGCACGTGATGCATGGCATTGATGCAAGGTTAAATTGAGCATTGCAACATGTACCAAGTGATAATGTACAAATTGAAAGCCTAGCAGGTTGTGAAACGTCGGGCAATCCACATCCCCAACATCTGTGACAGGGGTGCTCCCTGAACCTGGGTGCCATGAACAACAGTGAACAGGGAGGCCCAGAGTCATGCGCTCTAGAAACAGGTCGTAGTACCACCATGAAACGACCCATCGGTTTGTATCACACTCATCATCAGACCACTGCATAAGTCAACATTTCAATATTTCACTAATCTACTTCAATACCTCATATTGTGTACTCACACTGTACCACCCACCCTCTGCTGCCTCTTTGCACTGTGATGTCTCCATCAGTTAGCAGCATTTCTGAATTAGCTGATATTGTATTTGCTGTGTCGAGGCAGCTAAAATCAATAGTACATCTGAAGCAATAAAATGACTAAGCAGACAGAATCGCTCCCACCATTTCTTCAGACAGCTGCACGAACTTGTTGCTTGCCAAGTCGAGGGACACGGCGTCTGAGAACATGAAGCTGGCGATGGTGTTTGACAACCCCGTGTCTTGTGCTGTGTGGAACATCACTGCACCCGGAGCCCATGGTTGCGCCCGTATTTCGAGATTAGGGGTCTGTGCACAGGATACAAACCATTGCCCATCAATTTCTGGTTACTTCAGACTGGCCACAAATGGCTGGAAAGCAACAAGCTTGTATATTGGGGACATTCTGCCCCCATCGAACCCACATCTGGCTCGGATTTCTTCTGTCGCACATGATAGATGCATGCAGGATTCCAACACCAATCGGTGGTCCACGTGTGGAGTTCAAGCTCACAGCAATGTTCTACTGGAAGCCAAATGCCATGTTCAGTGCCAGTGTCAAAAGTGGTGTAAGAGAAGACATTGAAGACATACTCGTCTGCAAACAATGCGCCATGAAACAGCAGCACATGCCGGCTACCACAGGAATAATAGGTAACTCAAGAAGCAATCCATGGATGGGCTTGTTCACAGGGCTTGTTTCTACAACGTCTTCGCTCCATTTCCTTCAAACCTGCCCACAGATAAGAACAATGTGCTCCAAAGGAAGTGCTTGAAAACCAGATATCAGGAATGAATAATCTGTAGCCTCCAAACAGCTAAAGAAGGACAGCAGAAATTAAAGCTAGCCAGCGAAATCACCACAACAAGCTGAGTGCCCACCTCCATGGCTGGTGGCCAACTTATAGGGTGTTCAATCCTGCAGAAGGGAGCTTGGTCCGATGTCGAAAACTCCAAGCCGCAGAATTCCCGAGAGCATGTTTCTTCAGCTGTGCATTCAGACCCCTCTGACTCGATGCGACACGCTGTTTGGTTTGCTATTTCACAGCATTCACACCTGCAACCACACTGAAAGGCAAACAGAGCAGCTAGTCAGACCCAAGCGCAGCAACCAAACCTCCAAACACCATTCAGGCTGCCAATTCTCCAATGACTTGCTGGCTCTCTTCTACATAGGATTGCAAGACAAGTGACTCCACAATTGGTTTGGATGAAGGTGATTCTGGCTGTTGCTATGCAGACTATCACAAGCCAAGCACCGGCATACGGGAAAACAAGAGCAGGGCTATCATGGGAGGCTCCAGGACTGGATACTTGGGGACATACGCCTTATTTGCCTGCTCACACAGTTGTAACATAGAACAGGAGTAAGTCTGCAAAGAAAGTAAAAAAAAAACATACACATCGTGCATATGTGTCTTGTATTGTCAGGGCCAATATCCACAAAGTTCAAGACCCACTTCAGGGCACATTTTGTGGCCGTCCACTTCACGACCAAGCGATGAATAAGAAAGGGTAAAACTGGCAACATGAGGGCGTCACAACCTAGACTACCAGCAATGCATGCCACAGGCAGTTTGTGCATTCACATGTAATCAACAACGCCATGCAGCAAAAGTAAACATGCCAAATACACCCCAAAATACACCCTGGGTGAGGCATCGGTGACCTGCTCATGGCAGTTATCCGAGTCCCACCATATATACTGGCTTCAATCACTTGGGCGTTTCCCAGGGTGACTATGCTGACATCCAAGCATACTGTGCACGTTTTCCACAACCAAGTGCTCTCACCCTGTTATCAGCTGTGTCAACAGCGTTGTCAATGACTCTCTGCAGGCCGGCTAGCATTCCAACAAACAGGAGTGGCAGGAGGATGGTGCAAACGTTGAGACAGCAGCGCCGCTTCTGGTACACCAAATTCTTCCGCAACAAGGCACCACTCTGGTGCTTGAGGGAGGCCGCAACCTGCAGCGACGGGCAGCACAAAGCTGATGGATAGCGGTCTCGTATACTGAACACAATGGCTTTATTTGTATTTTACAGCTGGTTCATGTAGCCGCACGCAACAGTTGTGTTAGATACAGCCATTAATCTCATATACGTGCTGTTGGATTCAGTCCTCTCTGAACACATTTGCCAACCCGTGGCAATCGTCAGATTTCCATCTGCTGGGCGATGTGGGGACACATCCAACTGCGTGGAAATGGACATTTGCATAATACTTATGTGTGCACACATTGTGTGCTCAGGGAAGTTGTACACATACCTGGACTGTTGATACTCTTCTTGAATTGTGGGGATTCTGGGGACAACAAAACTTGAGGAAGTACCTAACACGCTGATACACAATTTCTTGTGTTTGATATATTGGCTGCCGATGATGCGATGTGTGACTGGATTCCCTGTTGCTCCGAATAGAACTACTCAGTTTATATTCAGATACTTACAGCAGTGGTGGTTGGTTTATAAACAGCACAGTTGTCAGCAGATACACGTTTCTGGTACATGGATTCCCCTTTAGTTGGGTGTGGTGAAGTCTTGTTGTCATGGACATCGGGGCAATGTGACATCCGAGACATTTCGTGTTCTTTATGTTTGGGCATTCACAAGCACTGCAGACGGGTGGTGAGAAGAAAATGTATGCACGAGGAACAGAAAAGCGTTCTTGGATTCGTACAAGCCAATCACTGACCCCTAAGCCTACAGCTTACAACCTAAGGTGCAGGGCCCCAGTTTGCGTTCCATTGCCAAATCTAAACAGAATACAGTTGTAGACACAGAGGCAGACAATCAAGCATTGTCAGCCCAATCCTTATTTCATAATCAGGTGACTTCATTGCGTTGGTTGTCAGAGAAAGTGGATGGGGAATGTGATCACCTGAACCTGAAATTGCCATGTACTGCACTGACCAAATGGAAATTTAATGGTCACAGCTTCATTTGTTTGATACTGCCAACACCAGTGAGCCAACACTTTGCTGGCAAATGACTTACCATTGCAGCTGCTGGTGCACCTTGGTGCAGTCAGTCGTCGATGAATTGTGCTGTGACTGTAACAAACATGTACCGCTGTCAGCTCAAGACGGCAATTAGGAGTGCAGCAGCTTTGGAATTCTTCTTGATGTCTGCTGATGTTCAGTTAGGCACATATAGTAGCAGTAAACGCATGGTTGCCCAAGTTAAGGAGCACAAAGTTGGGCAATTCCTCCACTGCCACATCTTTCTTTGGTTGGCACCAGGCATCCAGGCGTGAGCCAGAGGTGCATGCCTGGTTGCCAAGCCCCAGCTGTGACTGGCCCTTTCAGGTACTGTGCGCCACCTGCTCTATGCCCCGATCAGCAAGTGGTGTGGCCAGATCACCAGGGGCCGAACCTGGCTCAATGAGCCCGTTGCAAGCATAAGTGCAGGGAATTCTCGACCACTTCTAGGGTTCAAGTGCCTGATTTTGTGGGCAGCATTTACAGTTCTCAAAGTTTTCGCAGTTGTCACAGTTGCTCTGTCTGCAGGCAAGACAAAGCGCTACACTCACTCCCGTCAGGGAATTTCAGGCCGTCAGAACACCAGCGGGGACAGGTGCACGGTGCATTGCTGGAGCTCCCTACAGTTTGGCCAGTTGCAACACACGCAGTTCCTTGTGGAGTCCGTGTGGAAGTAACACCGCTGGGTCGGCAATGAGAGCCAATCGACCATCCGCCACAGCATGTGCTCGCTGCGCCATGGTGACAAGCGGAGAAGGACCGAATAAGACGACGGAAAGACATACGTTCAGGATGCTCAGGATGTGTACAAGCGTCGCCTGAGCGGGATCTGCTCGGCCGCTGAAGGAAACGCGGCCCAAGGAATTCAGCAATGACAGCGCCGGGGGGTTCAGGCGCCACGCAGCGGGAAAATAACCAACGCGAGCCCCAGCTCGCGCACAATTTCCCCGCATGATCGTCCATCGCCCCTACAGAATGCGGCCGTCAATTCCTCAAACGCGCTCCAAGCAAAGGGCGGGCGCCGGCGATTCGAATCGTCTCTTCTCCCCCCACTCAGACCCCCAATTCGTCCCGAGCTCAGCGACTCACCGTGGCGCGCGCAAACCACCGACGCAGGCGACGACGGGGATCGCCCTGCCCCGCTCGCCCCCCTCCCGTCCACAACGCAGCGGCCGAGCCCATGCTCACCCATGCTCGCGTCCACGCCGCATCGCCACGCCGGGCGACGGGCACGGGAGTTTGCTCGCGGGCAGCAGGGAACTGGCCGCTTAGGAAATTGTGACTAAATCTGCCTGCAGCGCCCAGCGGCCGAGGGGCAGCGATCCCGAAGGCCCCTAGCACGGGCGCGAGATTCAGGTGCCGCGGATGGGATGCGAGCGAAGCGAGAAAGAGGCGAGAGAATCACAGGGATCGAATCGGACGTCCGGACGGCTGGAGCGTTCCGGCGCGGAGGCAGCTGCAAGGACTGGCGGCAACTCGCGACGAAAGTGCGGAAAGAGGTTGCGCCCGATGGTCGACTGTGTTGAACGCGCCCGAGCGGCATGATCAGTTGCTCCGCGCTCGCGCCTCGCCAAATTTCCCGGCGATCGCGCCGACGGCCGAACACCCCGGCGCGAGGCAGGCCCGACACGGCGCAGGGAAGCCACACAAGCACTGCAGCTCCAAATGCTCGGCGTGCATCGCGATCCACGCGCTTCCGCGCGGATCAGCGGGCGCGGGAAAGGGCGGAGGGGCTACCTGGCACGCGCGCGCTCCACCGTGCTGCCAAGGCGCGGCAGACTCCGCTCATGGGTTCCCCATCGTCCCCGCGCCTGGGCTTGTGGGTTGGCGCAGTGCGAGGCCGGGTGCTTTGTGTCAGCTCTGTGGTGACGAGGCCGGGTACCTTGTACTGTGTGGTGGGCGGGGCCGCGATGATGGGGGGGGTTATGCCCTTGGGGGGGAAACTGGGTGAGCGCCGCGTAAGCGGGTGGTGACCTCCCAGCGGCAGTGGAAAGGAAGGTCGGCCAAAGGGGGGGGTGCCTTGCCGCCAGGCGGTCCTGGTAATGCTGGGAACCTCTGCGCGAACATGACCGAGACCAACGTGACTTTGCCCATTGATTGGACTTCGTTCTGTTTTCGTTAGTGCTGATCAACTGTGTTTGTGTGTGGACTGGGGCTTCTCAGGGGTGTGCATTGGGGGTGGCGAGGAGGGCGGGATGGTTGTGGGCGAGATGCAGAGGGGCGTGTTCAAACGTGAGGAACATGGGCAAATTTCCTCATTTGGATGATTTGTGTGCCTCAATGCAGAGGTGGCTTGCACACCCATGGGTAAGACGAACACTGGGACAAGCAATGGACGTACTGTTCTTGTGCGGTTTGGTGGCGACATAGCCCTCTGCTGGCACACAATTAATGGAAATTCATAATCATCATCCTCATCAACGTGACCATGGCTGCCTGCCTTGGGGCTCATGAGCGTGCAGTGTCCAATCAATCCATCGAGAGTTTTCATTGTCCTATTCGGACAGATCAACTCGGAATGCCGGTAGGCCCAGGAGGGGCCGTTCATCAATCAACTCATCAACTGTTTGTGTGGTGGACATGGAGGTCGACGCCGACTATTTCACCCCAGAGGAAAACGCCAGCGGATGGCCCATCAAGTACAGCAGGGTTTTGTCCAAGCGCTAAGTAGTAGTCCAGCTGTAAGTCCACAGTGGCGGGCGATTAGCACAGTTTGTAGGTTTCTTATGGGTACTCGTGGGCGGGGCTGGCGGTGAGCCTGGCATTCCGTGCGGTACCCATTGAGAAATGTGCATCTGGCAGGCAGGTGCATCTGCAGCTGTGGACCAGCTGGTCCACAGACTGCGTTTGGACGTGGCCCAAGGGATATGGAGCGTGGCCAAGGCACTCTCGCACGCTTTCAGGGAGAACCACACCCTGGTTTCAAGCGAACTGCCTTGCAAGCCAATTGGCGGGCTTTCTAGGCTTACTGGTCCAGCAAAATACCATAATTCACGAAAACTTGCCAAAATTGTGGGCCTGATGGGCTTGACAACGGCGCAGCGTATAGCATACGTCAAATAAAATGGCGATGCTATCAAGTAGTGGACAGCGCAAACCAGGCTTGGTTTTTACGTTTACGTTTACGTTTTTACTTTTACGTTTTTACGCGTAAAAACGTAAATTTGCAAAAGAACCTATTTTTATGGCTGTTTTTACGTTTTTACGGCTCCCTTGAACGCCCAGATTACGTGATGAAAGTTGCATACAATGATCAGTCCTCCGCCATATCCAGCACCCGCAATACAGTGTTCACCTCGCCCTTGGCAAGGGCGATGATGGTGTTTGACAAAAGCTCGTTTTCTGCCCCTTCCAGGGCGTCTGGCTGCCACTCTACGGACTCCGCAAGTCTGTATGTACTGTCCTTATGTACACCGGGGAGTTTTTACGTTGTATTTACGTATTTTTACGCATTTTTACGCATTTTACGCGTAAAAACGTATAAACTGTTTTTACGTGTAAAAACGTAAATACGATCAGTTTTTACGGCGTAAAAACCAAGCCTGGCGCAAACAGAACGCTGCTGAAAGAGATCGTGATCTATTGTGCCGCTTCGAAGCAGCACATTACTGAGGCGATTGGCACACGTCAGCCCTGGAGATCAGCCATAGCGGGAATGGCGACCCCATCCACTGACGTTCGCCCAGCACACCATGTTGTGAATGGTCTCTTTGGCTCCTTCTTACAGTCGTTTGGGATGCTGCACTTCTTCTGTTGTGCTTGCGCAAAAGTGCATGCATTCACTGCTAAGGCTTCGTGGGATCGGAAATTTTGCTGGTGCTGCATCGAACGTGGATTGCTTCACATTCAAAGTTGCGGGCGTCCCTGCATGTTGTTGGAATCGGGTGCGGTCTTTGGGGCACGAGAGAAAAGGAGGGGGGTCCCGGCAGAAACGTGTGTCCGAAAAGGGTGGAAGTGGTGATGATGATTACTTCCTCATCCGAAAATGAATGGCGGTTGTGAGGTCGTTTACTATTATGGAGTGTACAATTGAGGCAGAATGCGGCAACAATTTCAAGTTGCCCCATGCTGGCAAGCAGCAGTAGTAGAACAGGGGGAGGACGTGTCGGAGGTTGCTGTCAGGTGCAATTTGGTGATGCTGCCGGCGTTTTGAGGCTTGATGAAACGGCCTGGCGCATTTCATTTCTGTGGTAAATGAGGGTCATTCCTAAATGTTTGGCACTTGGTCTTTCCATTTTTGATATTCTTTTGTACTTTTGAACAGAATTTGACACTGATTTTGCAGTTTGGATAACCGCCATTGCTTTCAGGACAGACAAAGTATAATGTGTGACTGTAAAACGATATAACTATGATGTAGTTTGATACGAAGGTTTCTATTTAATTTTGCATACGTCGGATACTTCGAGAATCCGGTTAACTGCGCGGCAAGCAAAGCAGCATTTCGAACGCCTCATGCTGCCTGTTCGCAGTCCAAGTGCTGTCATTGGCTTCCTGTGGCGCCCTAAACCGTGGGGCGCAATGCAATGTCCTCGCTGTTCCAAACCTGCCCCCCTTGGCGCGCCTGCCGCAACAGCGCCCCGCGACCGCGCTACGCGTTTTTCACCCCCTTCGCGCGGCAGCGCGGCTCGAGGACAAAAGAAGGCGGGATCGTCAGCGACCACCACAGTCGCTGGATGGCAGTGCCCCAGGTGCCCGGGAGGGAAGCGACGCGCGGCCGTCGAGAAACTTTGGGCCGGGGACGCTCGGCCAAAGGGGATCGTGGCTTGGATTCAAAGCGGAAGTGCACTGCCGGGCATCCCGGTGCTTGGTGGGGGCGGCGGCGAAGTCCTTGCGCCAACCAAGCCCCGCGCTCTGTGCTCCAAAGCTGCGTCCCATGGGCCAGCGCCAGCGCCGCATCACGCGTGCAAAAACACTTACCAAGCCCCTGGCATCCCGGCTTCAAGCTGCAGGCACTGGCGACCGCCACGAGGGCTCAAGGACGCGTCTTGTGGTGCCAAGCCCACTATTGAGCAGCTC